CCCCTGCCCTTGTCCAGGGTTGCTTGTCGCCCACCGCGGGTAAGGTTGTCTTACACTACGACGGCAAAGCCGCTTCATCAACATTGCGGCCGAACTCTTGCAGTGCGACATCGTTTCACCCAAGAGGCACTGCATTGGCGCGCGCGTTGCAAACAACTGACAAACCAATTTGGCCAAAGAACTCGTCCTCCTAACTTTGGAACAGTTACCGCACAGGCGAGGAAAACATAACATGAGCGACCAGGCTAATCCAACGGGGGGAGATCAGCCCGCGCAGCAACCTTCCAGAGGAAAGCCGCCGAGATGGGGACCTCCCAGATCGTCTGAACTCACCCCCGAACTGATGTGCCCCCAACGGTTTGGGGATATCTTGTTCAGACCCACGGGAACTAACAAAGTGATCCCCCGACCATGCAACCCCTGGCCCCCACAGGCCTGTGAACGCCCACGCGTCGAGACACGTCGCGCCCTGGCGCGCCCCCAGGAAGCCTCTCGTGAGACAAAACCACGGAAGAGCCATGTGTAGACAGTTATCCCCGAACTTCTTCCACATCGCCCGCCACGCCCGCAGCTGCGCTGGGGCGCAACCGTTTCTTCTTCGCGCTCCCCCGCAGAATGACGAGCCCCAGCCCCAAGCAGACAGACAATGAGTTTGGCGAGCCACAGCCTCCCCAAACGAGGTGCGCCAGCGTGTGAGTCAAGGGCGCACGCGCGCCTCCACAAAACGGTGCGCAGCCTACGAGACTCTTCCCACGGACAGGGGTCGCGCGGGGGAGCTCGCGCGCCAATGTCGGCGCAGACGACCCCCGTGTTGCTGCGCTGCTCACCTGACATTGGCGATGCGTCGCCGACAGCTCGGGGACAGGCCCCCCCCTTCTGTTGCATCCTCGGGGGACCTCGCCTGTCCCAAAAATTTGTGTCTTCTGGGGGGCCCGACGCTTGCTCGATGCGGACTCGACGCGGATTTGGCATGGATTCGACGCGGATTCGACACGGATTCGACACAGATCTGACGCGTCCGACATGGATTCGACACGGATTCGACGCGGACAGGGCCGCGACGGGACAGACAAGGTCCCCCGAGGAGCGAAGCCGCACGGTCCTGAGCGGGGTGGGCCATCGGGCGTCTCTCCCAGACATGCCACGTCCTGGTTCTCTCAGCACGCGGTCCCTGGAACTCCCGGCCCTCTCCCTGGGACCGGTGTTTCATCCCGAACCGTTGATTGACGGCCCCGGGGCCCAGCGAGGGCTCCTGCATGCCGAAGCTGGCAAAAAACCTACCCGTCGTGTTTTTTTCCACGACGCGGTCATGGCTGGGATCGGGGATCGATGGGCGATTGGGGGGCTGATGCACCACCCCTGAGCCGAGGCTCGCGGGGCAGCCAGGGCCTGGACTGACTACCTACCAGACCACCGCAGCCCAACCCGAAGACCCGAATTTCGGGTTGGGGGGGGGGGAAGGGTTCCACGTGTGTTTTTGTCGATGTTTCCCGACCCCCCCCCCACTGGAAATCGAGGGTAAATCTGAGCCTTCGGGTTGGGTTGGGGTGGTTTGGTGGGTAATGATGGACGGTGCTGGCTGGTTGGAGCGGCGCAGCTCGGGCGGGGTCAGGCCGAGCCGGGCTGCAGGCTGCAGGACGTCGGGCCCTGTCTCGGTGCCGCCTTCGACGACATGGGCACCGGCTCGGCGAGAGCTGGCCTGGCCTGCGACCGAGCGGAGGACTTGCTGGAGCACATCATGCTGCTGAGCTCGCCTCTCCTCCTCCTCCTCCTCCTCCTCCTCCTCCTCCTCCTCCTCCTCCTCCTCCTCCTCCTCCTTTCCTCCTCTGTGCAAGTCCGGCTGCGCCCTGTTCTCTCTGGGCTCGAAGATGCCACAAGAAACAAGAGCACATCATGCCAGGCTCCTGCACCAGGACACTCGGCCACGGGGGGGACGTGAGGGGCGTGCAAATCACCGCGCAAACACGGCAACGCCCGAACATCCCTGCAAGAGCAGTGAAGTTCTGTGAAACCCGATGCAGATACCGTCACTGAGCCAGAATCGGCCGAGGATTCAGCCGGACTCTAAGCGGGATTGGGCCCGAGCAAGCGGGACTGAGCCAGAGTAGGCCTTTCGACCAAAGATCTGCCAGCGCCGATGCTGAGTCTAACCTCCCAAGAGTTTCATCCTTACCGGTCGGATCGCATCGGTCTCAGGGCCTGCGCGGCTCAAGCAAGGCACGGGTCCACGTCCGCAGTCGGGAAAAATCCCAGATCTCCGACTGTATGGTGACTTCTTCAAATCCGAATGGTTTCCTCGATGTGATCATCTGGGGCCTGTTATCGGGCCCCGGGACTAACAAAAACGGATCCAAAGAGAAAACCTGCCCCCGGGGAAAAGAGTCAGCCTCTGGCGCCCCAGATTGCAAACATCGGAGCGTTGGACGTCC